AAAAAAAAAGAAAACCAATCAGAGAGGAAAATGGAGGAGAAGGGATTACAGCATGGCCATCCCCTACGGGTGATTTCTCTCTTTCTGTCTCTGTCTCTCCAGCGAGCACATGCACTCTATAGCAAAAATCTCAAAAAAAAAAAAAAGGGGTGGGGTGGGGAGCAGACTAAGACTTGACTACAGAGTAGGAGAACGTGATGTGATGATGGAAGCAGGGACTAGAGTGGTACGCTTTGAAGATGGAGGATGGAGGAAGCAGAAATATTCTGGCAGCCACTAGAGGCCAAAAGAGGCAAGGAAGTAGATTCACCTCTGGGAACCTCTAGAAGGAACCAGTCCTGCTGACTTTAGCCCAGTGAGATTGATTTTGGACCCCAGTCTTCAAAACCATAAAATACATTTATGTTGTTTTAAGCCACCATATTTGGGGCAATTTGTTGCAGAAGCAATAGGGATTGAATGCACGTGGTGTATTTAAGTCTGTTTTAAAACGCATTTATTAGAGAACCAGAGTCTCTAATCACGCCTCCAAATGGCTCTGATAGGTGCTTTCACCTCCTTATTGCTGGTAGCAGCAGTTTCTTCAGCTTCCTAGTCCTCTCTACCCTCTGGGATTGAAGTTAGAAACAGGAAGGGAAAGAAATGAATGGTGGATTCTGGAGAGAGCAGGGAGTTCTCTGTTTTCAGGGAGTTCTCTGTTTTGGCCCATATACTCTCCTTTTTAAACATATTTTTTGACAATTTCCTAGTGGCTAGGTAAATAGTAACTTAGTGTACTGAAAATCCTGAGAAGACTGACTAATTTAGGGGTTGGTGAAAGTGAGGAAATGTTGAGAAGAAATCAGAGAGGAGGTGGCATCTTACAGAAAAAAATTAAGATTTTGCTGGGATAAAAGGGAAGATCCAATGCAGAGGAAACAGCCCGCATGGAAGCATGGGAGTGCTAAATGCCAGACACACTGAGTAGGAAGGGGCAAGACAGCAAGAGGTGAGGCTGCAACAGCTGGGCCATTTATTCATTCATCCAAAAAAACTATTTGTCTGCTGTATGATAAGCACTGTGCTTCTGTCATTATGGAGTCCATAATCTGGGAAGACAAATGTTTAAATACATGAATTATAATTCAGTGAAACAAGGGCAAGCTTGAAGGTCAAGAGTCTGGACTTTATCATTTATCTTTTAAAGGAGAGGGATAAACAAAGAAGAGAGGTCAGAAAAGGTCAGGGCAATCTCCTAACTAGTTACATACTTCCTAAGAAACAACACCTTGAACAGTAAATGCCTGAAATACAGAAAAGTTAATAAATGGCCCATGAAACAATGAATAAAAGAAATGTTTCAACATATTTAAAATTAAATTTTTCTAAGTACCTTCACATCGTGGGCAATGCTCTTCCTTTCTAGAAGAATTTCAGTGAGGGATCGATGTGCTAGGAGACGCTTCATTGTGGTTTGCACAAGAAATTGGACAGCTTTGGGCACGTGAGCAAGACTGTTTAGGAGAAGAGAGGCATTTTCCATTCGGTAGTAGCAGATGGCGTCTATCTCCATTATAAACATGTCTTTGGTCACAACCTAGGCAGGAAAATAGTTTTGACAACAGACTTGATTCTTGGATTCCTTTCCCATGTGAAAATAGAGGAACTAAATGTATTCACAGGGAATTTTCTCAGAGTAAGATTATAGCAAGAAAAAAAAAAGAGTAGTCGGTCTATCCTTTATTCAAGATAGACATGTTTTGGGAAATTATGTGATTTTTATTAAATGCGCTAAAGATCAACCATTGCGAAGTCTTTTGCCCATTTAAAAATCAGATTGTTTGCTTTTTTTGTTGTGGACATGTTTGAATTATTCATATATTCTAGATACTAACCTCTTAGGAGATATGTAATTTGAAAATATTTTCTCCCATTTCATAGATTGTCTTTTCACCTTGTTGATTGTGTCCTTCGATGCACAAAACTTTTTAATGCTGAAATAGCCCATAGTTCTACTTTTCTTTCCTACTTTTGAGCATAAATAGTCATTTTGCCCTGGGCCAGAGTTGGTAGCTTGGCCATGAAAAATGTAGTGTTCAAAGCAGAAAAACGCTTGTTCAAAGCAAAAGCTCCCCAGGGTGGGAGAAGGGAAGAAAGAGAGAAAGTAAAAGCCATTATTTGACTCACCTCATGAAAGGGTACCTCCAAAGTTTGGAGACGCAGGTCAACCTTGTGGTAGGTATCCAGGCAGGGCAAAAAGAAGAAAAGACCTAGGAGGAGTAGGAGGAAGTAAGAGGTGAATAGCTAACATGAAGCCTATTTGGAATTCACCTTTTTGGGGTCAGGTTACATACTGCATTGATTTTCATAGTCTCCAACAACACACAGACCACTGGGCATTTGTACCTTCAACCCCTATAGCGTCCTTGTTGTGGCTAAGGTTACCATATGATTTATTGTTCAATCTGGGATACTTTTGAGGGTAAAAGGAGACCTCTATTACAATATTACACCTTATTCCAGGATAACAGGCATAAACAGGAATTAGCCCTACAATGAACTGTGTGGTCCCTTTAATCATAGTACTAGCTCCTCCAGATCTTGATTACATGTATGTTCCTTCACCAGAATTGAGCTGCCTAAGCAGTGCCATATGCACTATTGTTGGCCTTAGTGTCTGACTTACTGCCTTTTAAGTGCTCTATATAATTGTTTTTTGAAAACAATTTTGTTTCTAGAGCTAGCAACCTCTATGTGATATTTCTTAAAAGGTGAGCCATAGTTGGGACCAGCAGATGGCATAATGGTTACCTCGCTGGACTCCCACTTGGCTGACTGTTGTTCAAGTCCCAGACCTGAAGGCTTAAAACTCACACTGGGCACATGTGTGTGTGTGTGTGTGCCCAAAGGCCTGAGAAGAGAATGGAGGAAAAGGGATTGCAGTGTGGACATCCTCTATGGGGGGAGGGGAGGTATGATCACGCTTTTTCTCTATCTTTTTCTGTCTCTCTGGCAAGTGTACATCCCCTGTAGTAAAAAGTTTCTCTCTTAAAAAAAAAAAAGAGTCCCACTGATTAGAAATTCATGATATCAGCCTCTGGTTGACTAGTTCGTCCTCACCTACCCAATATAATGTACAAAGTACATTATATAATGTGCAGTAAACATTTGTAGGTGGATTTACTAAGAGCCCATTGAATGTGTGGGCTTCTGCAAAAGCCAGAGCCTTGTTGGGACCAGCAGCACCAAAGATGTATCTGGGGAGCCTCCTTACCAGTCCTTCTCTGCCCCAGTCCACAAGGTTCTCAAAAATTGGTGCCAGAGACCAGCAGTTGGCATAATGGCTATGTTGCTGGACTCCCATGTAGTCAACTGTGGTTCACGTCCTGGACCCGGTAGCTTAAAACTCAAGCCAGGAGCATGTGCGTGCGTGCCCAAGATCCTGAGAGGAGAATGGAGAAGGGATTGCAGCGTGGCTATCCGCCCTGGGGGGTGATTTCTCGCTTTCTATCTCTCTGTCTGGCGAGTGCCCGCGCCCTATAGCAAAAACCTCTCAAAAAAAAAAAAAATTAGTGCCAGAGGGCCCAGCAGGTCATGTGCAGTGGTTGGTGCACTGGACTCCCACATGGTCAGCCACAGTTCAAGTCCCAGACCTGGCGTCTTAATTTCTCATTTTCCCTTTCTCTCTGGTGAGCATTATGTGTCCTACAGCGAATTTAATAAATAAATAATTCCGTAAAAGAAAAAAAAAATAAACCGGTCCAGAGAAAGATAGTCTAAGTCCTAGAACTATAGGATCTGGTTCTCATCTATTGGTCTAAATCTTCAAACTCGAATTTGTGGCTCATAGACTGGTCTATTTTCTTTACCTGTTTCTGCAGATGTGGCCTGGAACTCAGACTCTCTCCCATAGATGCTCCTCCTCATTCCTTCCTGGCTGGCTTGGATCTCTAAACCCCAGTACTAGATGTTTCAGACTAACCATACTTCTGCCTGTGCTCCACAATCATCTTCGATCTCTAGACATCAATTCCATTGATTTTGAAGACTTAAGAGACAAGAGACTGTTATTTTCCCCCCTCGTTTTATTGATTCACAAAATACCTTAAACTAAAAATAGGGACAAAGCTAGAATCTAGTGACAAATGCATTGTAATTTTCTTCTGAAACATTTTTTAAAATTAATTGACATTCATTCCCTGAGTATCACCGTCATAGCACATACAAAATGTGATTTCCCATACAGAATATACTGCATAGTGGCTTAACCATACATGTTGTCAATAATTTTCCATTTCTAGTTTCATATGTATACATTTGTCTATATATTTTTTACCCTTATTTCTTACCCTCTACCATTTCCCACCCTCTTCCCACACTATCTCAGGTTTCTACAGCTGTTTTCCATTCCTCCTCCCTGACACATTTTATTGAGTCACAAAATTTCTTAAATAATCTAACTACTTCCAATAGCAAGTTCAGCTAGTATATACATATCTGTGAATACATGTCTGACTTTAGGAGTGAAACTCTAAGTAGAATGAATATACTAGAAGGGAACACCTGGCTGATGCTAGATAGCTTACTACAGTCATTATACAGATATTTTTAAATATGTTTTTTAATTTCAAGTAAAGTAGTTTTAGCTTTAATAAATCAAAGAAATGATAAGGAACTTTTTTTAAATGTTAAAGCCAAGAAACAGGTTAAGATTCTGTTCAAATAGTAGGTACATGAACCTATTGGCAGTTCAAGACAGGACAAAAATTCTTTTTTTTTTTTTGGAGAGATTTTCACTATAGGGCGCGTGCGCTCGCCAGACAGACAGAGAGAGACAGAGAGACAGAAAGCGAGAAATCACCCCCCAGGGGGGATGGTCACACTGCAATCCCTTCTCCTCCATTCTCCTCTCGGGATCTTGGGCATGCACGCACATGCGCCCAGCATGAGTTTTAAGCC